AAATAAAAAAATTAAAATTTTATAATATGAATTTATATAATAACATTTTTATATTTTAATTAAATATATCTCAAGAGATATTAAATAAAAATTTATAAATACATTTTAAACATTATAAAATGCTAATTTTTGTTTTCCTTCGATTTCTTGAAGGAAAATTTGCATTTTTTTTCCTAGGAGCAGATGCTCTAGAAAGGAGTAATTTAAGAAGTTTATTCTATAATTTCGTCGTATAAAATGTACTTTAAAAATTAAAAATTAATTTTTATCGATTAATATATAATTAAAGCGTAAATCTATAAAAACATTAATTTAGTAGGAAGAGGAAAAAAAAATTCGATACTTGAGTTGAAGTAAGTAAAGGATTTTCTACTTAATATTTTTAGAATAGCAACTTACTTAAGATGAATTCCATCAAAGAAATCATCTCAAGAACATTTCATACTATTTTATTTTTTTAAAATTTTGTATCGTTAATAGGAGTCAGAATATTTTCTCGTATAGTTAAACGGATGATGAATGACCCTTTAAATAACTTTTACTTCGTTTTTAAATATTCTAAACATACTTAATGCACTCCCTTTTTCCTTGAAGTGTGTGACTCTTCTATTACTTAAAATGAAAAAAAAGCATTAAAATCTAATTAAATAATTTGTTTAATAATAATTTTATGGATGTTTTTGCGATGGATTGAGTAAAAAATTTTAGTTTTTTCCACCCCCTTCTTTGATTAATTATACTTAAGTGCACTTAACTGTTGTTATATAAGATCTCGTTTATTAATACTTCATATCCTTAATTTTAATTAACTTATTTGCGAAATTTTAAATTAATAAAAAAATATTTTAAAGTTAGTTTTATAAATTTTGTATTTTATAAAATAAAATGTAATCTATTCTTATCTCCATCCTCTCACTAAGATGCTCCTAACAAGGATAAAGAATAATGTGCTTATTTTAGATGCTTCTCTTCTCAAATATGTTTATTTTTTAAAGTAATTTTGTTTTACAGTATAATTTACAATACAATTTTCACTTTTAACAATAAAAATTTAATAAAAAATCATACATTTTCCCCCCCTTAATATTACCAAATGGAAACAAAACTAAATTCTTCGACTTTGAATTCAGCATCCTCTTGTAGTAAAATTTAGATAAAAGAGAACAAATTCCATTCGTTTACGATACTCTTTAAATTAATGAGAAATGATATAGGATAAATATAATAATTTATTACTGAACTATTATACATCTCAGCAAAATTTCAAAGGAGTCGTACACTTTCAACATTTATATCTATAATCATGAAAACACATTATTCACAGGCTGTGAAAAGCAAAATTGTTATGCTGAAGTGCTACTTAGTTGCAATGTCAGATGATAAATAATTGCATAGAATTATATAAATCTTGTTAAATGACCGCTAAGTTTCTGTAAAAAAAATAATAATAATAATTTAATTTAATTTCTCCTTATTTAAAGATAATTTAAAGATCTAAAAATATAAAATTAATGTTTCTTAGAAACAAACTTGAAATGTTATTTATTTATTTATTTATTCTACTTATTTTTAATTTAAAATAATTTCTACATACATTTTCAACCTTGTAAAGGTTAATTCTGCGATAATTTATTTAAAAATAATTATAATTTGTAAGAAAAATTATAAATATAAGCCTTTGTGTGTTTAATTTAACTTACAGAATGGCCCAAAAATTAGTACCTAAAACTCCATTTTAGGTACACTTTTGAATGAATGGTAAAGTGAATTTTCAGGAAATTTCTTTTTATAAAGTTGATAGAAACGTAGTAAAAATACGATTAACAGGATGTAGTTATTACGACGATTAACTGACTTTTGGGCCATCCTGTATAAGTTCAATTTTTAATTTAAATTTAATTAAATTCAAGTAAAAAAAGCATGCAATTCTATTTGTAAAATAGTAAAAAATATATATATATTAAGTTTTTTAAAATATATTTTTTAATATAAAATCAGGCAGTTAAATTGAAAATCTTTATAAAAAAATACTAAATAAAATTTCAATAACATAACCTATACTTTAAGCAGAAAAAAAATCAGAATTGCTGCAAGCAATGCCATTAAAATACTGTTTTTTTTTGTTTTTAATATTAAAAGAAATATGTTAAAAGTATTAAACTTTTTTTACAAATAAAGAATTAAATCTTTTTTATTAATTTTTATAATTATAAATCATTTAATTTCTTAATAATAATAATAGGGGAAATTATACTTTAAAAAATATGACCATATTTATGATGCTATAAAGAGAAAATTACAGTAAATTATTTATTTTATAGTTAAAAATACTTTCTAGACAGTATAATAATTTTAATACATTATAATTATGACGTGTAAACATATAAATAATCTTTTAATCTTTATAGAAATGATCTTTTGACACGTTAAGGATATTATAAATGTTGTTAATGAAATAAAAATTTTATTATAAAACAATATTTTCAGATATAAAATATAAAGATTTTAGAATATTTTCTACTAAAAAAATTATTTATTTTTTAATACAAAAATAGCAATTTTAGTGTACCAAAAAAAAAACTCGCATCTTTTCCATAATTTAGTTTTATAGATTAAATGTTTAAAAAAACACGTATTTTGGCATTTTATTTGCTTTTTATTAATGCATTTTTATATGTAAACTCTTAAAATGGGATTCTGCAATAAAATTTTGAAGATAAATCTAAAAGAAAACTGATACATCAGGGAGGAAGAAGAGCAAAAAAATAATAAAAAATTAAGGAGTGTTAGAATGTTTGATGTTGTCAATAAATTAAATTTATTTATTGTTCTATCGAAATTAAATAAAAAAATATATAAAGACAGATATATAATTTATTTGTAAAGTACTTTATCAAATATTGAAACTTTATCTTATTTTTTTAGGAATAAAGAATTATCGTTTAAGTGCATATGGTCTTTTATTTTAGATAAAATTCGACGTAGTGCATTATTATTATTATTATTATTATTACTATTATTTGTCTAAAAGTGTATTTAAGAAGTAAGTAAACTTTATAATTTCATTAAAAAATATCTATAAAATTTAATGAGTTAAACTTTTAACTTATTAAACATTTTATTATATTTAAAATTAAGGTCTAAATTGGAGAAGATAACCAAAAAAATAAAATAATTTAATGTTAAATTGTTGGATATTTGTATAAGTAGATGATGCCGAAAGGTATCGTTTTACATAACGAGATAATATATTTAAAAAAAAACTTTACTAAAGTAATAATAATAAATTGAAAAATTTTATATTACTTTTTTTTCCTATTTTTCAAGAAGCCAATTATTTTAAATCATTTATTGTTAGTGTATGCTTTAAAAAAAGGTAATTTATACAATAATTTAGTGAATGAACATAAAACAGATATCAATTTAATTCATACAGAATTCATTTCTTTTTAATTATTACTAATTAACTTAAAATTAAACGATTTTTCTAATGCAAAACTTTTAAAGCATCACTCTTTAGGTTTCAGAATCGATTATAAGAGACTATTCGCAATTAAATAAAAATATTAAAAGTTTAATTATTGTATATGAAATTTAAGTATAAATTTAAATATTTAATTATTTTTAATTGCTTTTTTATTGTATCATTAACTGTCTTTATGCTTCGTTTTCGAACGAAGTTGCATCTCTTAATTTAAAAGAGTTGAACTGTAAAGGTAATTTAAAGAAATATATAAGAGTAATTCGAGTTTAAATCTGAATAATATATTTATCTTTAAATAAGACTCTGATAAGTAGCAATTTCTGATATTTTTAATTAAACAATTGGAGCAATTGCTACTAATATCAAAAATTCCTTTACAGTTCTGACAGAAATTCGTTCTTTATCTCGTATTGTTTTTCAGCATAAAATTAATTGTTTCTATTGTGAAAATGAAATGCATTTTATACGTCATATGTTAATTTATCTTCAATTGAGAACTCGGGTCTAAACATCACGAAGTGATGTTTAAATCTGTTTTGTTTATACACTCAAATGCTATGATTAGTGACTTGATTGAAAAGTTTTCAGTGTATAATATGCTGTATTTAGAAAATATTGAGTTGTGTTTAAGACACTAAAGAAACAACTTCTTCCTGTTCGTCATTGTAACATTAAAAATGAATTCTTCGTGATCTGTCTGATCGGTATCGTCTCCTTTTTTGATCTTTTGCTAATTAACCTTCGAGTGTTTTAAGGAAAAACAGGCAAAAATGTTGAGCAAAATTAACAATTCTAGGCACTGGTGGGACATTGAGATGGCAGACAATTGTTTTGCATAAATCGATTTGACCCCCTCGTGAATGTGTGTGAATCTGTGTTTTTACTGTAAAAGTTATCCTTGTTTTTAACAGTGAATCCTTTATTTCTTCGAATCTCTTAAAACTTAGATTACAGAAATGTAATTTAAATATAAAATTTTCAAATTAAAAGTATTAAATATATATATATATTATTTTAAATACACGTTGCTATAAAAATTTTATAGCAAAAATTATTTTCTGAATGAATTCCTTAATATGTAAATTTATCACTAAACTGTTTTTAATTAAATATTGGCTGGTATATTTTTAATCAAGGAGATGAATATTATTATAAATTACGTAATATTAAGAAGTTTCTCGGTAACTTTCACAAGTTTTATTCTCGTTTAATGTGATAAGAGTCATAAATGGATCTTACCATTAATAGAATGAAAGCAATGTTTAAGATAGAAAAGTACGATAGGAAGTAGAGGAATATCCTTTATAAGACAGCGTAGAGATTTGTGTAATTGTAATCATTGATATAATTAGTACTAAAAGGGTAATTATAGCGATAATCTAGTTGAGTAGTCTAGTCTCGTTTTGTAATGGTCGAGGAAATGGTTCTTATAGCTTAAATAATAACTAAATTTCTTAAATGAGAAACTCTTACGAGTTAACACACAACTCCTACAATAAAATAAATTGCTTAACAAGCAAAAGAAAGTTGAGAATTTTCGACGAAATCTTCTTTATAGCTTGTACGATTCATATTCTCAATATTAACGTTGTTTAACTATAGAAAACGTTATAAATCATACCTCAATATAACACTCAAACAATATTTAGCTCAATCAATTCAATATAAATATGTTGAAATGATCATAAAATAATTTGTTGTAATGAATATATAATTGTTAAGCTACAGTTTGAATATAAAGCAAAACTTTTTTATTTAATTCAATTGAAAACTTTAGAATTTATTGTTTAGAAATATAATTCCAAAAGATACTTTATACATAATAAAAATACCTCTTTTTTAAATTGAAAAGTACGATAGTTTCTCTTC